GTAATATTTGGGGTCCCAAGTTTTTGCCATGGATATTTTATGGGTCAGAGGATAAAAAGTTTGGGAACCACTGGACTAGATCACTCTTAACTCACCACCCATGGCAGGAATATCTATGATTATCTTTAGAGCCATCATGATAATCTGGACTTCCTTAAGATAGTCGGAAGGACAAATATCGACCTGATTTTCTTGTAGTGTGACGCCGGCCTTACTTGCTTGGATCACCAAGATTCATCTGAGAAACGGCTGTGAGCTGAACCTGAACAGTTCTTGTTTGGTTTCAGATTATTGAGCTCTGCCWTCTCAAGTTGCTCTGTCAGACGTGTGTTTGTGTGTTTTATTTTACCATCTTCCAGATGGGTGTGACGTCATGCAGTAACCATTAAATAAAGCTCAGAAGCTCTGAATGTCCCCCATCAATCATGAGAGAAGCCTAACTCTAACCACCAACAGAGAGTCGGGGGTAAGTGTATTCAAACATTCAGGAAGTAATTATTGGACGTATTGTACGTCTAGAACTGATTACCTCCTGGAATCAGCCTGACTCAAGATGGATCCATAGCTAGTCAACCTTAATTAACACTTAACATGATATGACTCAATAATTATTATTTAAAATATTAAGTTACAATCTTAGGGGGATAGAGGCTTTTAAATAGTTTTTTGTAATAAAGAAAAATCCAGTAAACTGATCAGAATAATGCTGTAGGCTATGTATAAAAGTTAATTTCAGTTTGATTTTTTGTCAAAAGACAATTGAAAAACATTATTATTATTTTGTCATGAAAATGAATTCAAAGGTCAGCCAGCTTTAAGGTCATGAAAAGGTTCATCTAGAACCTGAAGAGATTCATGAGAACTCAARCAGGAGAGTTACCAGACTGCTGAGTTTGTGGAAAGAAAGCTTTTTTTCCCCTAAAATTAATCATTAAGTCTTGTCTTATTCTTATGGAGACAGGAGTGTTGAGAGATGAGTGTCATGATCTTACACCCTTCGACTACAGCAATATAAATGACTTTAAAACATCAATAATGAGGTGACTCTCAAACTGGTACAAAAAGATCCCTGGCCAGCAAGAAGTTTCAAACCCTGTCTGGGTACAAAGTGACCAGGATYAAAAAGATACCAGTTAAAAGGACAAAATGATCTGCACTGTATATCCACCAATTTAAGGTACATGTTAATTAGTGCAGTGTTTTTCAAAGTGGGGGCCACCAGGGGGCGCTAGGGGGCCTCAGAAAGCTGGAGGGAAGATAAGAAGAAAAGGCAAAAACAAAACAATGAAATCTAATAAATGTTTTAAATCCATAAATCCATCCATTATCTATACCCACTGCTTCCTTTTCAGGGTCACTGGTGTCCATATCCAGCAGTCACAGTGTGAGGGGCGGAGTGCACCCTGGACTGGTTTCCAGTCCATCACAGGGACACATAMAATGAGACAAACAACTCACACAGATAGGGATAATTTAGAGTTATCAATTAACCTAACAGTCATGTTTGAAACATATTTTTCAAAACTTCCATTTCTAGATCTTCAAACCTCCTGCCTTCTTAAAAACATGTAAATATCCTAATTCTTCATGCTCAAATGRAGGAATAGGACTATGTGATTTGAGAAAAGAGTGGAAAGTCATAATGAGATAGTCTTCTTCACATCTGAACAGCACTATGCAAACTTAATTCCTCCATTTTCAACCATGCACAGAACTACACTATATACTTTGCTCGAGTCAAAGTAGTACACAAACACTCTGCTCCTCAATAATTGTAATAGTCTGATTTTCCTTGGGCTTTTCATTAGTTGTACATATTTCAGAAGAAAGAAACATGTTTAGCAGCTTTTCTTATTATTCGCCACTAATCCAGCAAAAATAACAAGTTTACAAAAATCTGAGAGTCTACAGTCACACAAAATTCCACCAAACTGCCCAGGCTCCTAGTATTGTGTATTTACCACCAAGAACAGGAGATATAATCTGAACATGGGACGCACTTAGAAAGTCACTAAGGTCCAGGTTACAACACACTAAATTAAAGTGTAACATTTCTGCTGTGTATCTACACAACTGTTTTCTCCAACACCAAAACCTTTTGGTTACATAGTGGAGGTTTTAGTAAAGGCCCAGCGTCAATCTGACATCATATGTGCACTACAGACAGCTGCAGTCACTGGTTTCTCACAGAGTAGATGAATAGTCAAAGCTTGTTACTCACGCTTTCATTAATCAGAGATTCTGACTCAGAATATTTATGTGCTGCATCATCTCAGAGGTGTGTCATACACTGATCCTGAGCTGTTTCTTATGCTCCAGATTGAAGTGTTTGCTCAGTGAAATACCAAAATGCCAGCTAAAGCTGGTTTCAGTAGTCTTATCTCAACAGTGATTGTGATCCCAGCGTTGTGTGCACGTGTACCGTTTTCACCATCAACATCAGAAAATCCGTAACGTCTCCAGGAACTGGTTCTCACATCAACGAGTTGAAAACTGTTTGAACTGTATGAAAATCAAACGTAAATGCTGAGTCACTGCTTATATTTACAGGCTGAAAATGAATCGATAAAATTAGCTACAACAAACAAAACAGCAGCTAAATGTTAAAATAAAGCAGAAGCTTAAAGCTAAAACTTGGAACACAAAAGCTAAAATTAGCCGTCACTGCACGATCTGTTCTGGAAGCACGATCCGTACCATCAGCTCCTTCGTCCATGCGTTAAAAGAAATACAGCTCATTTGTGCATACGCTAAAAAAAGTACTTTTGGATTACCAGTTAAAGGTGCAGTATGTAACTTTTCTAAAAATATATTTTTA